GAATCCAAAACCGTTCGGTTTGATGGAAAGCTCAGGACGTCTGGATCTCTTCTACGGTCTCTGAAATTTGATCGGAGAAGAAGAAAGGAAGTTATGGCAGAGAGAAGATGGAGGTTCTAGAGAGATGGAGGAGAAAATGAAAAGTCTAAGTTTGGAAGGGGAGGAGGTGCACGCAGGAGAGTGGGAGATTTTTCCAGAAAATCACTTTTGTTCAAATTCCCACTTTCAGACGAACGGACGTCCCCCTGGTTGACACCTGCACCCCACCATTCACTTTAGAAACTTCCACTTTGACAAGTGGCGTGCATGCAGGGCTCGTTTTTCAGTGGATTTTTAATGCACTGAATTACGTGGCATGGTGCATTGATGTAAGCAGCTAGGTGACTCAACACAGTAATAAATGAGGCGTGACAACAAACATTTACAACATGATAAAAATGGACTAAAAAGAGACGTATGCCAGTAATTTCTAAAATATTTTATTCTAAAGTAGAATACTATAAAAAAGTATGATAACACCTTAAGTGATAAGGCTTGGATTTTGACAATCATGTCCCTGATATAGTTGATGTTAATTGCTTATGACAAAAGTAAGGTGATTTAAGTCACAATCGAATCATGACGCTTAGGTTATACACTCTTAAGTAGAAAGAGTTACATCTTAACTATCAACTATAATTTTTGATTTAATGCTAAGTGTTAGATCCAGTAATTGGTATTAAAGTTCCGATGTGTTGTTTTCAACCGCTGCTCAATACGAAAGGTATTGCTCCAAGTTCTTTCATCGTGACATTATTGAACCAAAATACTTAGATCAAGAGCTTTTTAGGAAGAAAATTTTAAGTGTTTCAATATATTGACAAATGTTGGTTTAGTTTATTTTGTTTGTCATAAAAAACACTTACCCTGAGTTAGTATGAGTTTTTTATAATAATGTGTGTATTTCTGACGATGAAGTCATTCGTAGTGAAGTAAAAAAACTGAGAATGACCATACATCCACACTTTTTTATTCTCTTATGAACATACTATCTGTATGGTTGTCTTTTGAAGGTAATATACCTTATGAGTGGACAAATGATTATTTTGGCCTACATGCTAGACAAATTATTTGTAACAACATGAATGCAAACATTGTAGGTAGAATACTGGAAAGGTCCATGAAAGTTGACACTAGAATATTGCATTACATTATTTGTCGCATTTTAGTTCCTCGTTCAATTAACTTGCACAGGCTATAAAGGAAAATCTTATTTTGATTTGGACAATTCTGACATCAAGGGAGATTAATTGGGCTCATCTCATCCGACATAGGATGAAAACGACTTTGAGAAACAATGCATGTTTACCCTATCCACAACTGATCACCAATTTTATGCATCGTTTTGAATTTCCTTTGAATTAATAATCATTTATGCAAGTGAAGAGGTCATTCAGAATTGGTGTCGAAGTTATCAGTTCCTTTGACATTGTTAAAAATGTTGATGGAAATTGGGTTCACAAAAGAGATGATGCTCTTACATTTCTTGATGACTACCAACCATCTCCCCCTCAAAAAGATACTTCATTTGTAAAGCTTACTAAAATAATGAACGAGATTCGTGATCTACAAGCATTTGTTGGTGACAAATTTGATAGTATTGATGCTCGAGTTTGACATATCGAGGAAGACATAAATTATCTACGTCGTCATTTTGGACCACTAGGATCTTCTTATGTTTTAATTTTATTGTGCTATCTTTTATTTTTATTATTATCTTTTTGTAATGACTTTATCAATTAATAAAATACTTTTTATTTTGTTTATAAATTTGTTTTCTGGTGTTAATGTGTTCTTAGTATAATGAACATTTAAATCATACTTAATGAATTATAACTTCATTATACTCTTAAATCACAAATTATATATCACATTTTCAACCATTTAACTTAGTTTTAAGTCTTTTTAATTATGGTAATCGATTACAACAACATTGTGATCAATTACATGGCCCTTTTATTTTAATTTCAGCATTGATAATCGATTACAGTAGTGGTGTAATCGATTACTAGTGAAGTCATGGTCTCTTATATGACTTTAACACTGTGTAATCAATTACACGTGTTCATAATCGATTATCAGTGCCTGAAAACGTGTGGGGTGCACGACTTCACCTTTTTTATTGTGTCAATGGAGAAGTCAAGCATCCCCTGCACGACTTCTTCATTTGAATTCGTGTGAGAGTTGCACAACTTGTCCATTTACATAAATAAATAAAAAATTGCTTAAATCCGTAATAAATTTTTGTCTATAAAAAAAACTAAAAAAGAAGGGAGGAGAGAGATCCAAAACAAAAACTAGGCCATGATGAATCATATGAATAGAAATATTAGAAATTATTATGATCATGTGACAACATATAACAAGATGTATAACAAAAAAATGTTAGAACGAAGGATTGATGTTGCGTTGTTGGAGAAGGTTCTTGATTTTTGTTTGGTGTGTTTTGTTGTTGAGGTGCTCAAAGATTAGGTCCTGGAAAATGGGGTGTGTTTTTTCTAATGGCTTGTACTCATTCGGTGATTAATTGGTTACCAAAAATCAGAATTCGGAAATACAATTACGGAAGATGTTACCAGCAAATAAATTCCGTAATCGTAAAATTGGATTGTTATGGAAAGTTAATTTCTTAATTGGTTTGAGGTGTTTGGCAAGGTGCACATGGAAGTGTAAATGCAACTTTTAGAAGGTCCATTGCGAAAATGTAAAATATCCATTCCGGAACAAGCTTCCCGTAATGTAATTTTATACTTCCAGAATTGACTTTTCGAAATTTACATTTACACTTCCAGATTTATGTTTTTGGAAAACTTCAATCAATTTTGGAATTATATTTTCTGAAAACATTCTAATAATGGTTTTTAAATTTTTTTAATTTATTTATGACATGATCATAAGCAGCCATTAATATTCTCCTATTCCTAAGATTGGAGCAATTTATAAACAATAACCGCAATAACTATAAACATATACATCAATGACATGAAAACTATATTAAGGAAGTATCGTAACTTCAGTTTTTTCTCTCTCCTTTTCCAATTCCAACTACAAGAATTGTTATGCATAAAATGTATGATACCAAAATGCTCAAAAAAATATGATAGTCAAATTTTATAGACCTTTCATATTATCTGTTTCGGATGTGAAGGGCTGCGTCCTTCGTCCAATGTCTCCACGTCCTCCTCTGCTCATACTTAGTATGTCCGGTCTTCCGTACTCGCTCCTCAATTTCCTCCTAGGTCTGTGGGTGGGGCAAAAGATTCTCCGATGCCAAAGTCAATTGAGAGCAATGGCGTTTTTCTATCGAACAGTAATAAATGTGCAGTAAATGCAACCTATCTACCACTCACCCTGGATCTGTATTTATAGTTTTCGCTATGGACTTGGGATTAGCGACAAGTTAATCACGGCCCAAATTCAGCCAAATACCTTTTAACCTCAACTTACCTTAAACCTGATTAATTAGCGGTATGGTCGGCCGGTCTCCTAAAGTTCGGCTTTTGAACCAGCTGACCCTTATGGGCGGCTGCATAGCAAACAACATGTCCGACCGACCTTTTAGTGTATCCGGATGACGAGGTAAGATTGTGTGATCTAGGACGCAAGGGCGTCCGGCCTATCTGGCGTCCGGTCCCTACTGGTACATTATCAATCCAAAAGACTTATATAATATTTGGAAAGAAATGAAAAACCAAATGGCATTAATTGTTCGAAAACCCTTAAAAAAAATTATCAATGTTTAGTAAATGTGTTCCAATCTTTGAGCTCTACAAAACCTTGATTTTCATTTTATTCTTGTCAAAATTTTGATGTTTAAAATAGCATGAAAATCACAAAGTTGGAACAAAGCAGTAGAAAATAACGGAAAACAAGATTGAAATTATAAAAGGTTTCTACACATATAAACTATAAAGGGTAAAATAGGCAATTTGAAATATATAGGGTGTAGGAAAAAAGTTATATATGGTGGAAAAAAGTTATATATGGTGGAAAAAAGTTGCGGTATCCTCGTGTTTTATTTTTCTTTCCAAAACTATTATTTTCTGATACGTAAAGTACTGTTGCACGAGTTTTATTAGAAGCATTGAAGACTTATTCACTTTTAAATCAATCTTAAGATATTAAAACCACATAATAGATATAGTAAAGGGTTCAAAAATAATAATTAAATAATTTTATAACATTAAATACCATAAAAATTAATATTAATATGACATTTGAGTAAAACTTTTATATGATTTGATTCACTGTTATTTCATATCAATTTTTGTATTATTACTGATGGAAACATGCGTATTATAAAAATGTACGCGTTTATTTTTCTTGATTACAAAAAATCATACAATTATTATTATTAATATTATAAAAATAAATATAAATCATTTTTATAATTTTATTACAGACAGAATGTTTATTATAGATAATTATTTTAATTAAAAAAACAGTTGAATTTAGAAAACCAATTTTTATTTATTTTTTTAATTTGATACCCAACTAGACTTATTTGAAAGTAAAGTGATATTATTATTTGTTTTCCAAATGCAATATCATTATGAGTTAATGACTTGTTTAGATGATATTTCTCATAATCACAGCTTTAAATTTTACTTTCCATGACCTCTCTAGCAGAGTAGAAGCACACAGCTTCTATTTCCTATTCCCAAAGATCTAAAACTGAGTTTTCCATCACTTGATGACAACCACAGAATTCTCGTGAGAAGCCTTTATTAATCATTGAACGGTGAGCCACCTTTCGATTCAACGGATAGCAATATTAAGTACATACCAGAGGTGTTTATTGGGGCCCAAATTTCAACAGTTCCATTAGCGGTGGACCTCATATGGAACTTGCCAACCCAACATGGCAACATCACCATGAATGTTTCATCATACTTTCATTATTCTACATTGATTACCAAACATACTCCGCTAAAACAACCTAGGCTCCTCCTCAGTTCACTTGGACATACTCGAAGTAGAAAAAGGAAAAAGAAAACTCATGGAAGCTTTGTGGGATTTGGAAGACAAATTGAAGATTTCTACACTAGGTGCTGTTCTTCTTCTTGCATGTGCAAGCCTTGCTCTTGTGTGCCTTTGCATTGTTGTTACACTTAGAAGGAAGGCCATTAACAATAAGATTGTACACCAAGAGGGTGCTTTAGATGAAGAGAATGAAAAGAATACCACAATTACAAACACTAATACTAATTTTGATGCTACTGTTACTACTACTACTACTACTACTACTCCTCCTACAGAATGGTCAAAGGCAAGTTGTGTAGGATGGATTTCAGTGAAGAGGGTTCTGATGGGGTCAATGCTGTGGAGCAAGGCAAGGAAATTGGAGGAGAACATTGCATGGCAGAGAGAGAGGGGATCCCCACTACTTGGCTTACAAAGGCAGCAGGGTCTTCAAAGTGGGTGGCAAAGCCATAACTCAGAATCTCCAGTGTGGCAAAGACCAATACTAAGAGGGGAGAAGTGTGAGTTGCCAAGTTTTAGTGGCCTCATTCTCTATGATGAAAGAGGAAGACTTCTTCGTGATTCTCAGAATCAAATTCACCACTTCATGGAAACATCACAACAGGTAATTCTTATCATCATATAGGATACTAAGGTTCTTAACTGTACATAGGATGATTCTTTGCAAACACATTAGTTTTAAGACCAACATGATGATGAATGGGGGACAGGCAGCTTCTTCGTGCTCCTCCATAGTTCTTCCAGCACCTCCATTTACTTAAAAATTTCAATTTTACACCCTTTTGAGTACCAGAATTCGTATTCCGAACAAAAGTGTATTTTAACATGGCATATGGAGTTGCAGGAAGAAGTTGCAATGGGAACAATGATGATACTAGACCTATTTGGTATCTATAAAGTAAAATGAGTGCATGCATGATATTTATGTCCATTTCTTTTTAAGCACAATTAGGATCTTTGAATATATCCTTACAAGTTTTGGTCTTGTGGGAGTGATCTTCGTTCTGGAGCTTAATCACATCTAAAACTCTTAGTCCCTCATGGATATGTTCAATGAGAATCAAAATAAAATCCTCTTCTACACCCCCAACATTTGTTGCCAAAATTGAGTTGTTTGTGTTCATTTTAAATGAATGCATAGATGCACACACAAAAAAGTTTGAATTTTCTTCCACAATAACTTCTTGTAACTCAATAGGATGCAACAGTGTTTGCTTCACAATACTGAATCACAGGAATGTCTCTGTTTCAGTTTCAGGCAACATTTTTGCTGCATTTGTTTATGTCTAACTTTTATTCTGTTTGATGCAGGAAGTAGGAACTGTTACAGTGAGGACTACTCTAAGAGATTTACTTTAGTACTCGCTTACTGGGTTTTTCTATCACTCGTAAGTTGTAGCAGACAGACAATGAGGTTTCACAGTAATGACATGGTGTGATCAGTTCAAATATGTAACTATCATTTCATAAAATTGCAGTTTTTTCCGAGAATTCAATTATGCATTTTCCATTTCAGATCATTTCATAAATGACGCATTAGGAAGCTGCATTAACAAAAGCAAAGAATAAAAAGAACGTAAAGGAAGTTTATGGATCTCTGCAAATTGTGGAAACTACACAAAAATGGTATCTAGTTTAACCGACACATTATCAACTAGGAGATCAGTTACAACTTTTTATTAATACTTGGTTTACTGGGAAATCCTATTTTTATGCAAATGTCAAATGTTCACACTATTCTTTTAAGTTTCTTCCTTCAGTCACCTAATGGCCCTGATCTTACTTAAAATATTTTAACGACATAGTTCATGCTCACATGCAAGTTTGCTATAATTGATCATTAGCATTGTTAGGGTTACAAGTGTCCCGTGAATGCACCGAGTCATAATCGAAGAGTATGTAATTCCTAGGGAGACAATTGTTAAAGGAGAACTTGTTACATCAATTGTCCTGTGATAAAAGTAAGGTGAATCGAGTCACAATCAAATTGTGATACTTAAGCTTTTGCGCTCTTAAGTAGAAAGAGTTACACTCTTACTATTAACTATAGTTACAAGTTCAATTCTCAGTAGAACATTGGTTTAGGAAGAGATTATTGCGACTTGAGCTGGTATTTTTGTATGCAAGTTGGTTTCTACCATATTCATTCTCATATAGCAACAATAGAAAGTTGACACAAGGCACAGCCAGAAATGACATTAAAATATTGTGGAACGTTTCAATGCAATTCACACATCTCCATGAATTGCGTGGAAAAACTTCACACACAACCATAAATTTCACTCATTCAAGTAATGGAAAACATTTCAAACACAGAGAATTGCTGCTACTAATTTCAGAGAACTATCTCACTGAGGAAAAGACCATAAATCTTAATCAATCATGATGCATTTGCCTATGCCTCCACTTTGCCAACACTCACCAGCATGGATCATTCATACGACACTATCAAGGGCTGTCTGCAGTTTTCAGTGGATGAACTCTTGTAATAGAAATATAATATCAATTGCACAATTCCTAAAACAGTTCCTATCCCATTTGGCACCTACAAAATCAAACACAGACAGATTTATTTCATATCAAATCAACAAAGGAAAAAAGGGATCTTAAACTAAAATGAGTATCTCAAGAACAAACGAGCTGAAAGGAAACTCACGTAAATGAAGGTATCATCACTGACCAATCCGTAAAGAAAGAAGGAGATGCTCATCAGGAAGGTGGAAAGTGAAAGATAAAAAGGCATAAACTCTACACTTTTTGTCCGAATGACCAATCTCTGAGAAGTTACATAGACAAAATATGTAAAACAAATTTAATAAAGTAACAGATGCAGAAACTGATAAATGGATTGGTGTCTAGGAAGTGACAAGCATACAATTATAAACAATGGAGAGGCAAACATTGAAATGAGAGAAGCACAACTCAAGAGTCCCACAAACATCCGTCGCATTGCACTGTCATCAATTTGCAAGCTCCCAACTAGTATGATCACAAATATGCCCAAAACTGCTAAGAGTAATCCAAGCATTCTCACCTATCAAATGACAATTTATAGTACACAACAGCTTAAGAAAATAAACCAATTTTTTTTTCTTTTTTTTTCTTGCATTTATCATTCACAAGACTCCAATAGTTCATCAAAAGATTAACCTTTCTTGCTTTCTCAGCATAAATCAAGAAGAGGGTTATGTACACAAGCTGAAAGACTCCCCCAATTGTATTAACAGTTGTCACCAACAGATTATCAGGTGATATAAGAGGTGTGCCATACCACAAGCAGATCAAGCAGTTCAAAAGAGAATAAACATATGGCAGTCCTGAGAACATTTCTGTTGACCCATTTCTGATGATTCTCCTAAATGTAGGTCTAGAGTTCAGAACAGAACAGAACAAAAGTTATTATCACCAATGGAAAGATAAGCAATAAACTCTTCTCAGCTCAATTATTGTCTTGCACTTTAAGAAACTTACNTAATAAGCTTCCCTTACCCGGATTGTGCGTTCGTTCTTCAGAAGGAAAACCAGATTCCAGTACACTCTTCTACCCTTAACGTTCAACCCAAAACTTCTTAAACTAAAATTACAGAAAACCAATATTGGTTCAGAGAAGGTACATGCAATTCAGAATGAGGCTTGCATGATGATAATGAAGATTAGTTAAGGACGTGAAACTTACCCGTTTCAGAATCCAAAACCGTTCGGTTTGATGGAAAGCTCAGGACGTCTGGATCTCTTCTACGGTCTCTGAAATTTGATCGGAGAAGAAGAAAGGAAGTTATGGCAGAGAGAAGATGGAGGTTCTAGAGAGATGGAGGAGAAAATGAAAAGTCTAAGTTTGGAAGGGGAGGAGGTGCACGCAGGAGAGTGGGAGATTTTTCCAGAAAATCACTTTTGTTCAAATTCCCACTTTCAGACGAACGGACGTCCCCCTGGTTGACACCTGCACCCCACCATTCACTTTAGAAACTTCCACTTTGACAAGTGGCGTGCATGCAGGGCTCGTTTTTCAGTGGATTTTTAATGCACTGAATTACGTGGCATGGTGCATTGATGTAAGCAGCTAGGTGACTCAACACAGTAATAAATGAGGCGTGACAACAAACATTTACAACATGATAAAAATGGACTAAAAAGAGACGTATGCCAGTAATTTCTAAAATATTTTATTCTAAAGTAGAATACTATAAAAAAGTATGATAACACCTTAAGTGATAAGGCTTGGATTTTGACAATCATGTCCCTGATATAGTTGATGTTAATTGCTTATGACAAAAGTAAGGTGATTTAAGTCACAATCGAATCATGACGCTTAGGTTATACACTCTTAAGTAGAAAGAGTTACATCTTAACTATCAACTATAATTTTTGATTTAATGCTAAGTGTTAGATCCAGTAATTGGTATTAAAGTTCCGATGTGTTGTTTTCAACCGCTGCTCAATACGAAAGGTATTGCTCCAAGTTCTTTCATCGTGACATTATTGAACCAAAATACTTAGATCAAGAGCTTTTTAGGAAGAAAATTTTAAGTGTTTCAATATATTGACAAATGTTGGTTTAGTTTATTTTGTTTGTCATAAAAAACACTTACCCTGAGTTAGTATGAGTTTTTTATAATAATGTGTGTATTTCTGACGATGAAGTCATTCGTAGTGAAGTAAAAAAACTGAGAATGACCATACATCCACACTTTTTTATTCTCTTATGAACATACTATCTGTATGGTTGTCTTTTGAAGGTAATATACCTTATGAGTGGACAAATGATTATTTTGGCCTACATGCTAGACAAATTATTTGTAACAACATGAATGCAAACATTGTAGGTAGAATACTGGAAAGGTCCATGAAAGTTGACACTAGAATATTGCATTACATTATTTGTCGCATTTTAGTTCCTCGTTCAATTAACTTGCACAGGCTATAAAGGAAAATCTTATTTTGATTTGGACAATTCTGACATCAAGGGAGATTAATTGGGCTCATCTCATCCGACATAGGATGAAAACGACTTTGAGAAACAATGCATGTTTACCCTATCCACAACTGATCACCAATTTTATGCATCGTTTTGAATTTCCTTTGAATTAATAATCATTTATGCAAGTGAAGAGGTCATTCAGAATTGGTGTCGAAGTTATCAGTTCCTTTGACATTGTTAAAAATGTTGATGGAAATTGGGTTCACAAAAGAGATGATGCTCTAACATTTCTTGATGACTACCAACCATCTCCCCCTCAAAAAGATACTTCATTTGTAAAGCTTACTAAAATAATGAACGAGATTCGTGATCTACAAGCATTTGTTGGTGACAAATTTGATAGTATTGATGCTCGAGTTTGACATATCGAGGAAGACATAAATTATCTACGTCGTCATTTTGGACCACTAGGATCTTCTTATGTTTTAATTTTATTGTGCTATCTTTTATTTTTATTATTATCTTTTTGTAATGACTTTATCAATTAATAAAATACTTTTTATTTTGTTTATAAATTTGTTTTCTGGTGTTAATGTGTTCTTAGTATAATGAACATTTAAATCATACTTAATGAATTATAACTTCATTATACTCTTAAATCACAAATTATATATCACATTTTCAACCATTTAACTTAGTTTTAAGTCTTTTTAATTATGGTAATCGATTACAACAACATTGTGATCAATTACATGGCCCTTTTATTTTAATTTCAGCATTGATAATCGATTACAGTAGTGGTGTAATCGATTACTAGTGAAGTCATGGTCTCTTATATGACTTTAACACTGTGTAATCAATTACACGTGTTCATAATCGATTATCAGTGCCTGAAAACGTGTGGGGTGCACGACTTCACCTTTTTTATTGTGTCAATGGAGAAGTCAAGCATCCCCTGCACGACTTCTTCATTTGAATTCGTGTGAGAGTTGCACAACTTGTCCATTTACATAAATAAATAAAAAATTGCTTAAATCCGTAATAAATTTTTGTCTATAAAAAAAACTAAAAAAGAAGGGAGGAGAGAGATCCAAAACAAAAACTAGGCCATGATGAATCATATGAATAGAAATATTAGAAATTATTATGATCATGTGACAACATATAACAAGATGTATAACAAAAAAATGTTAGAACGAAGGATTGATGTTGCGTTGTTGGAGAAGGTTCTTGATTTTTGTTTGGTGTGTTTTGTTGTTGAGGTGCTCAAAGATTAGGTCCTGGAAAATGGGGTGTGTTTTTTCTAATGGCTTGTACTCATTCGGTGATTAATTGGTTACCAAAAATCAGAATTCGGAAATACAATTACGGAAGATGTTACCAGCAAATAAATTCCGTAATCGTAAAATTGGATTGTTATGGAAAGTTAATTTCTTAATTGGTTTGAGGTGTTTGGCAAGGTGCACATGGAAGTGTAAATGCAACTTTTAGAAGGTCCATTGCGAAAATGTAAAATATCCATTCCGGAACAAGCTTCCCGTAATGTAATTTTATACTTCCAGAATTGACTTTTCGAAATTTACATTTACACTTCCAGATTTATGTTTTTGGAAAACTTCAATCAATTTTGGAATTATATTTTCTGAAAACATTCTAATAATGGTTTTTAAATTTTTTTAATTTATTTATGACATGATCATAAGCAGCCATTAATATTCTCCTATTCCTAAGATTGGAGCAATTTATAAACAATAACCGCAATAACTATAAACATATACATCAATGACATGAAAACTATATTAAGGAAGTATCGTAACTTCAGTTTTTTCTCTCTCCTTTTCCAATTCCAACTACAAGAATTGTTATGCATAAAATGTATGATACCAAAATGCTCAAAAAAATATGATAGTCAAATTTTATAGACCTTTCATATTATCTGTTTCGGATGTGAAGGGCTGCGTCCTTCGTCCAATGTCTCCACGTCCTCCTCTGCTCATACTTAGTATGTCCGGTCTTCCGTACTCGCTCCTCAATTTCCTCCTAGGTCCGTGGGTGGGGCAAAAGATTCTCCGATGCCAAAGTCAATTGAGAGCAATGGCGTTTTTCTATCGAACAGTAATAAATGTGCAGTAAATGCAACCTATCTACCACTCACCCTGGATCTGTATTTATAGTTTTCGCTATGGACTTGGGATTAGCGACAAGTTAATCACGGCCCAAATTCAGCCAAATACCTTTTAACCTCAACTTACCTTAAACCTGATTAATTAGCGGTATGGTCGGCCGGTCTCCTAAAGTTCGGCTTTTGAACCAGCTGACCCTTATGGGCGGCTGCATAGCAAACAACATGTCCGACCGACCTTTTAGTGTATCCGGATGACGAGGTAAGATTGTGTGATCTAGGACGCAAGGGCGTCCGGCCTATCTGGCGTCCGGTCCCTACTGGTACATTATCAATCCAAAAGACTTATATAATATTTGGAAAGAAATGAAAAACCAAATGGCATTAATTGTTCGAAAACCCTTAAAAAAAATTATCAATGTTTAGTAAATGTGTTCCAATCTTTGAGCTCTACAAAACCTTGATTTTCATTTTATTCTTGTCAAAATTTTGATGTTTAAAATAGCATGAAAATCACAAAGTTGGAACAAAGCAGTAGAAAATAACGGAAAACAAGATTGAAATTATAAAAGGTTTCTACACATATAAACTATAAAGGGTAAAATAGGCAATTTGAAATATATAGGGTGTAGGAAAAAAGTTATATATGGTGGAAAAAAGTTGCGGTATCCTCGTGTTTTATTTTTTCTTAATTGTTTTATTTTTCTTTCCAAAACTATTATTTTCTGATACGTAAAGTACTGTTGCACGAGTTTTATTAGAAGCATTGAAGACTTATTCACTTTTAAATCAATCTTAAGATATTAAAACCACATAATAGATATAGTAAAGGGTTCAAAAATAATAATTAAATAAATTTATAACATTAAATACCATAAAAATTAATATTAATATGACATTTGAGTAAAACTTTTATATGATTTGATTCACTGTTATTTCATATCAATTTTTGTATTATTACTGATGGAAACATGCGTATTATAAAAATGTACGCGTTTATTTTTCTTGATTACAAAAAATCATACAATTATTATTATTAATATTATAAAAATAAATATAAATCATTTTTATAATTTTATTACAGACAGAATGTTTATTATAGATAATTATTTTAATTAAAAAAACAGTTGAATTTAGAAAACCAATTTTTATTTATTTTTTTAATTTGATACCCAACTAGACTTATTTGAAAGTAAAGTGATATTATTATTTGTTTTCCAAATGCAATATCATTATGAGTTAATGACTTGTTTAGATGATATTTCTCATAATCACAGCTTTAAATTTTACTTTCCATGACCTCTCTAGCAGAGTAGAAGCACACAGCTTCTATTTCCCATTCCCAAAGATCTAAAACTGAGTTTTCCATCACTTGATGACAACCACAGAATTCTCGTGAGAAGCCTTTATTAATCATTGAACGGTGAGCCACCTTTCGATTCAACGGATAGCAATATTAAGTACATACCAGAGGTGTTTATTGGGGCCCAAATTTCAACAGTTCCATTAGCGGTGGACCTCATATGGAACTTGCCAACCCAACATGGCAACATCACCATGAATGTTTCATCATACTTTCATTATTCTACATTGATTACCAAACATACTCCGCTAAAACAACCTAGGCTCCTCCTCAGTTCACTTGGACATACTCGAAGTAGAAAAAGGAAAAAGAAAACTCATGGAAGCTTTGTGGGATTTGGAAGACAAATTGAAGATTTCGACACTAGGTGCTGTTCTTCTTCTTGCATGTGCAAGCCTTGCTCTTGTGTGCCTTTGCATTGTTGTTACACTTAGAAGGAAGGCCATTAACAATAAGATTGTACACCAAGAGGGTGCTTTAGATGAAGAGAATGAAAAGAATACCACAATTACAAACACTAATACTAATTTTGATGCTACTATTACTACTACTACTACTACTCCTACAGAATGGTCAAAGGCAAGTTGTGTAGGATGGATTTCGGTGAAGAGGGTTTTGATGGGGTCAATGCTGTGGAGCAAGGCAAGGAAATTGGAGGAGAACATTGCATGGCAGAGAGAGAGGGGATCCCCACTACTTGGCTTACAAAGGCAGCAGGGTCTTCAAAGTGGGTGGCAAAGCCATAACTCAGAATCTCCAGTGTGGCAAAGACCAATACTAAGAGGGGAGAAGTGTGAGTTGCCAAGTTTTAGTGGCCTCATTCTCTATGATGAAAGAGGAAGACTTCTTCGTGATTCCCAGAATCAAATTCACCACTTCATGGAAACATCACAACAGGTAATTCTCATCATCATATAGGATACTAAGGTTCTTAACTGTACATAGGATGATTCTTTGCAAACACATTAGTTTTAAGACCAACATGATGATGAATGGGGGACAGGCAGCTTCTTCGTGCTCCTCCATAGTTCTTCCAGCACCTCCATTTACTTAAAAATTTCAATTTTACACCCTTTTGAGTACCAGAATTCGTATTCCGAACAAAAGTGTATTTTAACATGGCATATGGAGTTGCAGGAAGAAGTTGCAATGGGAACAATGATGATACTAGACCTATTTGGTATCTATAAAGTAAAATGAGTGCATGCATGATATTTATGTCCATTTCTTTTTAAGCACAATTAGGATCTTTGAATATATCCTTACAAGTTTTGGTCTTGTGGGAGTGATCTTCGTTCTGGAGCTTAATCACATCTAAAACTCTTAGTCCCTCATGGATATGTTCAATGAGAATCAAAATAAAATCCTCTTCTACACCCCCAACATTTGTTGCCAAAATTGAGTTGTTTGTGTTCATTTTAAATGAATGCATAGATGCACACACAAAAAAGTTTGAATTTTCTTCCACAATAACTTCTTGTAACTCAATAGGATGCAACAGTGTTTGCTTCACAATACTGAATCACAGGAATGTCTCTGTTTCAGTTTCAGGCAACATTTTTGCTGCATTTGTTTATGTCTAACTTTTATTCTGTTTGATGCAGGAAGTAGGAACTGTTACAGTGAGGACTACTCTAAGAGATTTACTTTAGTACTCGCTTACTGGGTTTTTCTATCACTCGTAAGTTGTAGCAGACAGACAATGAGGTTTCACAGTAATGACATGGTGTGATCAGTTCAAATATGTAACTATCATTTCATAAAATTGCAGTTTTTTCCGAGAATTCAATTATGCATTTTCCATTTCAGATCATTTCATAAATGACGCATTAGGAAGCTGCATTAACAAAAGCAAAGAATAAAAAGAACGTAAAGGAAGTTTATGGATCTCTGCAAATTGTGGAAACTACACAAAAATGGTATCTAGTTTAACCGACACATTATCAACTAGGAGATCAGTTACAACTTTTTATTAATACTTGGTTTACTGGGAAATCCTATTTTTATGCAAATGTCAAATGTTCACACTATTCTTTTAAGTTTCTTCCTTCAGTCACCTAATGGCCCTGATCTTACTTAAAATATTTTAACGACATAGTTCATGCTCACATGCAAGTTTGCTATAATTGATCATTAGCATTGTTAGGGTTACAAGTGTCCCGTGAATGCACCGAGTCATAATCGAAGAGTATGTAATTCCTAGGGAGACAATTGTTAAAGGAGAACTTGTTACATCAATTGTCCTGTGATAAAAGTAAGGTGAATCGAGTCACAATCAAATTGTGATACTTAAGCTTTTGCGCTCTTAAGTAGAAAGAGTTACACTCTTACTATTAACTATAGTTACAAGTTCAATTCTCAGTAGAACATTGGTTTAGGAAGAGATTATTGCGACTTGAGCTGGTATTTTTGTATGCAAGTTGGTTTCTACCATATTCATTCTCATATAGCAACAATAGAAAGTTGACACAAGGCACAGCCAGAAATGACATTAAAATATTGTGGAATGTTTCAATGCAATTCACACATCTCCATGAATTGCGTGGAAAAACTTCACACACAACCATAAATTTCACTCATTCAAGTAATGGAAAACATTTCAAACACAGAGAATTGCTGCTACTAATTTCAGAGAACTATCTCACTGAGGAAAAGACCATAAATCTTAATCAATCATGATGCATTTGCCTATGCCTCCACTTTGCCAACACTCACTAGCATGGATCATTCATACGACACTATCAAGGGCTGTCTGCAGTTTTCAGTGGATGAACTCTTGTAATAGAAATATAATATCAATTGCACAATTCCTAAAACAGTTCCTATCCCATTTGGCACCTACAAAATCAAACACAGACAGATTTATTTCATATCAAATCAACAAAGGAAAAAAGGGATCTTAAACTAAAATGAGTATCTCAAGAACAAACGAGCTGAAAGGAAACTCACGTAAATGAAGGTATCATCACTGACCAATCCGTAAAGAAAGAAGGAGATGCTCATCAGGAAGGTGGAAAGTGAAAGATAAAAAGGCATAAACTCTACACTTTTTGTCCGAATGACCAATCTCTGAGAAGTTACATAGACAAAATATGTAAAACAAATTTAATAAAGTAACAGATGCAGAAACTGATAAATGGATTGGTGTCTAGGAAGTGACAAGCATACAATTATAAACAATGGAGAGGCAAACATTGAAATGAGAGAAGCACAACTCAAGAGTCCCACAAACATCCGTCGCATTGCACTGTCATCAATTTGCAAGCTCCCAACTAGTATGATCACAAATATGCCCAAAACTGCTAAGAGTAATCCAAGCATTCTCACCTATCAAATGACAATTTATAGTACACAACAGCTTAAGAAAATAAACCAATTTTTTTTTCTTTTTTTTTCTTGCATTTATCATTCACAAGACTCCAATAGTTCATCAAAAGATTAACCTTTCTTGCTTTCTCAGCATAAATCAAGAAGAGGGTTATGTACACAAGCTGAAAGACTCCCCCAATTGTATTAACAGTTGTCACCAACAGATTATCAGGTGATATAAGAGGTGTGCCATACCACAAGCAGATCAAGCAGTTCAAAAGAGAATAAACATATGGCAGTCCTGAGAACATTTCTGTTGACCCATTTCTGATGATTCTCCTAAATGTAGGTCTAGAGTTCAGAACAGAACAGAACAAAAGTTATTATCACCAATGGAAAGATAAGCAATAAACTCTTCTCAGCTCAATTATTGTCTTTCACTTTAAGAAACTTACATGGGCGATAAAAACAACCCAAAAGCAAACACGTTACCTGCAATCCAAGAAGTGTATATCATGATCAATACAGAGATGGGTCTAAGTTTAATTTCAAAAAGTAAAGTTTTTTCTTCTAGTTTTCAATCTTTCCAACCAGAATAAATCATCCCATAAAGAAAAGGAGGTAAAATACCAGCAACTCCTGCTGCCTCTTTGCCAACCTCACTGATGGAATAAGCACCTAACAGAGACATCACTGTTCAATTGACAAAACCAGCTTTGACAGAAACAAACTAAACCTTCAGTTTAGTACATACATGTACAAGAATGTAATAAATTGCTATGAACTTTTGGATATACTTGTTCTCTCTATCTTTTGTCTAGTCAAAAACCCACTTTTGGTAAAGCACTTCTCTCCGAAAATCTAATTATAATGGTTGATCACTGCTAATGACATTTTTTCTAAAGACACGGTGGCATGCTTAACACGTTGTCTTCCTGTTCCTGGTCATAATGGTCCATAGCTGGCACTTGAGAGAAAAACTCCTCATAGAAAACTCTTTTGTGCCGTAATTTGAACCTTAATTTCATGTGCTGACGTGGATCTAAATGTTTCTATAATTCTTTAATACAATGGGGTACAGAACAAGACAACCTACTGCAAGTTCCTTGCTGTACTTTCATACCTTTTCTCTTGTATTTTTTTATAAAAAAACAAAACTCATGTTATTATATAATTTAGAAATAGAAATTAACTTTAGATTTATATAATCTAAAATAAATTTTTAAAGAGATTTCTAAATTGAAAGATAAAAAACTTAAAAATAAATTTTAAATTATACTATTCAAAATTTAAGAATAATAAGATTGAATTAGTGATAAAAGCTAAAAAGAAAAATAATAACTTTTAAATAATACAATTCAACATATAATATATAATAACTTAATTTAATTTATTATATCTTAAATTTTGTTTATATTATCATAAATATCATTTTTCTCTTGGTTTTATAATTATTAATATTTTAGATAATTGAATATTATACTTAATGAATAAAAATAATAATAGTAATTTTGGACCTGTACATACAACCATGTATTCTTAGAGAAATTATCGTATGTATTCTTCTAGTTTGAATATGCCCATGTAATCTTTAAATAAATTTTAAAAGTTTTACTAGAAAAGTACGTAACAAGATATACCTTAAATCGGATATGTTCTAGAAATTAAATAAAAGATAAAGGACGAAAGAGTGTCGTGTGATTGTTCGTTAACAAATTGATATTGTTTATGTTAACGTTCCCTGTTTTGACTGAATTGCTCTCTAAGAGCAACAATATGTTTATTAGGGTTTATTTTTCTTTAAGTTTGTTTTTGGGTTAGGGATTTTTGTGAAATCCCGTTTCTTCCTTTCGGTTTTATAGGAACTCTATGTATATAGGGTTCTTTATCTTTTCCTTGTAACATACACAAATAATATATATTATTGAATACATACTTTTTCTTTTTCTTCTTCTATTTTTTTTTTTATACCATCGTTCTTATACCTGTCAAATAAGTCATAAGTCCCATGAAACGCCCAATCCATATAAGTTAGGATAAAAAAACTCACAGGACCAAAAAAATCTTTTCAATAAAAAAGTCAACGAGACTAAATACCCTCAAAGCCCTATGGGTTAGGACTAGCCGGGCTTTCTTTTTATCAAAATTTTAAAAAGAAATACATCACCTTAATCATTGTTCCATTTACTTTTTATGCTTTATTGGATGTGATGTATAGATACCGATTGTTGAATTAACAATTTATTACTAAAATAGTATACAACACTTTCTTCTAAATATTTAATAAAAAAAATCATATGTTGCTCATTTATCAATTTTGTGATTTAAAAGCACCAGAAAAAAGAAAAAGAAAAAGGAGATAAATTTTGATTAAATGAATTGTCCAAAAAAATAAGGCCAGACATTTGTAAAGCTTGTGACTTGAATGATATATATCTCTATCTATCACTATCTCAATCAAAAATAAAAAATATATATATGTGTGAGTATTTTTTTTTTGAAAAAAAATTAAAAAGATCATTATTATCATAATTATAAAAATGAATATAAATAATTTTTATTAATTTTATAAATAATTTTTTGTT